AATTTTATACAAATAATTATATAAACAAATGTTAAAAAACAAATTCGATAGCACCTCCCTTATACTGGATACTACCTAAATCCACAAACCTACATATATTAACAATAGCCACAACCAATTTACCAAATCTAAACTAATTATTCCAACATATTCAATTCCTAATCCTAAGGTAAATTCAACATTAAAAATTACAGTTCCACAAATTATTCAATAATTATGCCAATACAACAAAACAATAAATTAAAAAAAAATCTAGAATAACAATCAAAATAAATCGAAAAAATTAAACCCAAATCATGCAATAAAAAAGTAAAATTAATAATTATTCCAACATATTCAATTACTAATCCTAAGATAAATTCAACATTAACAATAAATATTTAACAAATTAACTAATAATAATTATGCCAAAACAACAATAAAAAATATTCAATAAATTCAAAAAAAAAACTATAGACTTTAGCAATGAATTATGCAAACAAAAACTATAGATTTTATCTACATTGCAAAAAATACACCAAAACAAAAAAACAGAACAAAAAAATAGCAAAACAAAACCATTAAAGTAAAATGAAAAACAAGAAACACTAACCTTTTCAATTGATGGAGATTCACTATAAAAAAAGCTTGATATCGTCGGTGAAGAAGGGAGATCATAATGGAGAGGAAAAGTGTTGCGATGTCGTGGTCGCAAAAATTAATTACCCTAGCTTAAAACACAACACATAAGATAGTATAGAGCAAGCAAAGGGTCGATCTCACAAGGAAGATTTAGTTCAGATTTTTATGTTATACGTTATGCAATTGGGGGGTTTTGATTTGTGATGATCTAAACTATGGAAGATATTAAACTAGCAAACAAAATAAATTGAAATCGAAATTTATCAAGAAAACAAACCTTGGTTGCAAGCACACATCCACCAACGGAAATTAGAACCGATCCTTGAAACAAAACTACAATTTATATTCTGAATTTTTATCTTTTCTTAATGTTGGTTAATTAACGGATCCGCCGTATAACTAACCCTAACCAACAAACAATCACAATGTCCGCATTAATGATTTAGTTCAATGGCAGCCCTAAGAACTAGATATTTGAGTGTTGTCCCTAAGTTTAATAATGTAGTTCCGCCACAATTATCAAGCTTAGTTGCTTCACAAGTTCATACATCACAACTCCGGTTTTGATATCAAACTTAGCAATAAATTGTTCACAATAATAACTTAGAGTTCCGCTCTAGCAATTATCAACAACAATCATAGAAAATATGCATAGGAAAACAACCATACTTATTCATAATATAAACTAAAAATAAAAGGAAGAATAAATCTCACGGTTCTTGAAATCTGAAGGTTTGTTGTGTCCTTGCAACCAAGAAAAGAGCTTAGTCTTGCATAACTATTGAACAACTACTCTTAAAGAATGAAGAGAGCATGATTTTTTGGGTTTGTAGAGGAGAGAATTTGTGTTTCTTAACTTCTGGCTGCTGCCCCCCTTCTCTCCTCTCTCTTTCTTTTTATATGCTAAGAAACCCTAGTTCCTAATTTACAAAGTAGTCCTCCCTTAAGTTGACAATTGACATTTAAGTACTTCAATAACTAATTTACAAAGTAGTCCTCCCTAATTTACAGCCTTAGAGCCATCGATGATGTGGTGGAATTTTGAGTAATTATTTTCAAACTCTCTGTGAAATGCCAACGGATTTGTATTCCGTCAGTGTTGCCGTCGGTGATGTGGTGGCATTTCAAGTAATTATTTCATGTTACAAAATATATCATCCATGATCAATAATTATTTCAAGTAATTATTTCATAATTGTGGCATTTCAACTAATTATTTCAAGTAATAAATATTTTGTGTTTCAAAATATATCATCCATAATCTAAATTACATGAAAAAAAGGGTTTTACATAGGGTTTCATTTTGGTAGTAAGTCAGAATTTTCTTCTTCATCATCATCAATTGAATTGTCTTCACCTTCATCGCAATCTTCAATATGAATATCATCTTCTTCATCGACAATTGCTTGTCCGCTAGAGCTTAAAACAAAATTCTAATCCTCTGCATCAACATCAATAAGACTATTATCGAAAACACAAAAATTTGAATTTTCTTCCAATTCAATCGAAAGAGCAACTCGATATGGTTCAACCACCTCACTAACTTGAAAGACTTCATCTCGCACACTTGTGTCTTCGTTCTCATCCTGAACAACCTCGACACGACCCTGGGGTTTCATTTTTAAAACGGATAACCAATCCACTCTTGATCGATCCTTTCTAAATGAAGGGGTGTATGTGTAATAAACTTGTTGACATTACTTTGGGAGAACAAAGACATTGTTTATATTGCGGAGTCTAGCTTTTGAGTTGATTTTGACTAGACCATAGTGCGAATCAACTCTAATTCCTCTGTCAGTCGTGTCATACCAATAGCATTTGAATAAAAACACTCTATTCTGCTCGTTATGATATTGCAGTTCGACAACTCTTCTAATCTACCATAATAGTCAACTTCTAACTCACTACTAATGGATCCCTTAACACAAACACCGCTGTTGTATGTCTTTCTTCCTTGCCCGTATTCTTCAATATGGAAAACATATCCATTGACAAAATACCTGTTGTAGCACTTACATTTTCTTTAAGGCCCCAAGCTTAGTGAAGACAATGACTTAAGTGCACTCCTTCCCATTTGATAAACCTTATATGTAATGTACATCAATAAATAGTAAATAAATGAGAATCTCATAATGACGTGCATACATACAGTAATTTTACAAGTTAGAATGAGTTTGTGATAGTGCTTACATGTGTTCTGAACCACGTGGCAATCTGTTCATCTTGTAATTGAAAGATCTGGGATTCGATCAGCTGTGAGTTATTGGAGAGCAAATATTGTCGATGTTGCCTGCAAGTGATAATGAGTGTATGATATTACAATATATAATTAACATTATATTAATAACAAAGTTTAATTAGTATAAACTTACTGAATAAAAGGTCTCAGCTCATCATAGTTAAATAGAACGTAGTTGTGTGCTTGTTTGAACTCTATTTCCGACAAATATCTTCCTCTTACGGCATTTTTAGGTATGGGTTGTCCAGTATTGGAGAATATTGACAAGTTCCCGCTGGAAGGCACTTCACCACCATCATCATGCTGGGGAACACGATTGATTCTCATTCTCAGATGAGGTTCGAAATAGTACGTGATAAATGTTGAGATCTCCTCAGCAATACAGGCCTCACATATCGAAGCCTCAACATGCGCCTTGTTCTTAACCTTTTTCTTAAGATTAAACAAGTACTTGCATTTAAATATTAATCAAGTATTTTCAATTAAGAAAAACATATAAAATACTTTTATATATGAATTACATTGCAATTGTAATATCTAACCGTTCGAATGGGTACATCCATCTATATTGGACCAGTCCTCCAGTTTTTGCCTCGAACGGTAGATGTATAGGGAGATGCTCCATTGAGTCAAAAAATATGGAGGGAATATCATCTCAAGTTTGCATAGTGTTCCGTCAGTGAAATAATTACCTACAGTCTCACTGATAGAAAACATCTGTCGGTATAATAGTCGTCGGTAACTCCCACTTCCATCGCTAATTCTATCACAAATTAAAAAAAAGTTTCCCGCTGGAACATTACTGACGAAATAAATCCGTCTGGAATTTCAATGGTAATTACTGACGGACTATTCATCAGTAATTATGGCATCGGTAGTAATTGTTTGCCAACTCTTTGTGAAATACTGACGGATATTATCCGTCGGTAATACCGTCAGTGATTAAATACCGACGGAATATATGTGTTGGTAATTATGGCATGGCTGGTAATTGTTTGGCAACTCTCTATGGAATATCGACGAATAATATATGTCGATGTTTTTGTCGGTATATATTTAAAATATAAAAAAATAATTTATTAATAGTAAAAAACCTTAATAAACAAATAAAATTGGATTAAACATTAAAAATATAAAAGTAATGTTAAATAATATTCATTACAAATTTAATGTGTTTAAAAAACAAAATTAAACTAGAATAACGACGGAGCTGGAGGAGGAGGAGGAGGAGGTTAGTTGTTCCCGGGACCCTACGGCCAGAAAGGAGCTATATAAGTATCATCACCCATCTTTGATCTCATCTCCATGACTATTTGACGGAGATCATCATAATTCATCGAGAGTTATTGATATTGTTGTTTCAAGGCAATGAACTCAGATTGGATATTCAATACTGATGGAGAGCTTCCAATAGTTAAGACACTACGAGCTGAACGCAAGTTTTCAACCGTAATGTTGGAGAGCCCGTAGACCCGATTTTTATCAGGTTCAAAAAACAATCCCGCCTCCATCCACAAATCTGGATCGAGATTTGGATGGGTCAAAGGATGGTCTTCATAACTCTCCCTCAATCGGTTATTATAGGTCTCCTGAAAATTCCGTCGGTAAAAAAATCATCAAATGCAATTCAAGATGCAATTCAAGAAAATAATAACTTACAAAATAAAATGAATGAACAAACATACCACGAAGTACTGAGCATGATTGTCCATGAACTACTGCACCCCCTTTTAGCGGTCTTGACTCCGTACATGCGTCTTTACAAATAGCTCCATTGGACTAGGCTCACGTCCAAGAGACACAACCTGTAAAGAAAAAATAGGTTGAAAGTTAAATATATTATAAGGAACAACAAATTAATTAATAATATATTTCATTAAAATTAATCTTACCATCTGCTTTGCATGTGGGCTGACTGGGATGGATGCGTCAGTGTGCGTGGTCACCGAACAATGAATTTACCGGTTTTGATTGTCGGCGCTGGACTGTGAGCGCCTTGAGAACCACTCTGAGGTCACGTGCTAAATATATGTCATCCATATTTCCCCCGAGTTGAATGGCAGTTTGAATTCCTACCAAACTGCCACCTTATTCCATCCTTCAAAACCGTTATCCTTCACATGTCTTTTTGATTTTTTTATGTCATACAAAAAATCACGCAACCTACTTCCATAGTAACAAATTAGAATTTAAAACATAAAATTATAAAACAGAAATAAATTTATTTTTGATGTTACCTAGTTGCCGCGTGATTCTCCCATACCTTCCTCACAACATTGTTGTCCGCCCTACCCCACTCAAATTTGTTCTGTGTATATAAATAATTCATATAAAATAAAAATAGTACAAGATATAAAATTATAAAAATCATTTGTTAAAAATAAGCTGGAAATTAAAAATTAACACCGACCTGAAATCGCTTAAACCATGCATCGATATTAGGTTTCTACTCAGGATGGCTGGAAACCTGGCCCCATTGAAATAATGGAATCTTCATCAACGATTTAAACACCGATGTTATAATCCTTGCAGCCTCAATGTTTGTGAACCTGAAATTAAATAAAAGTAGTAATATTAATTAGTTGTTCATAAATTATGTTATAAGTATATAAAAAGAAAACCTAAACAAACTGACATTGAGAGATCATCTTTCCATTGTGCCTGGTACGCGGGTGAATTGACCCCGTTGTGAAGGCATACCGCTTCTGCGCTGTGAAACCACACTAGAAGAGGCAACATCACAAGTTGGCGTAGATTCCTCGCCGTGATCAGCACCTAAGGATACGTCCTCCTCGCTACTAGAAGAACTAGCTGCAACAATCTGCTGACGATGTGCTGTAGATTTTATTCTACGCATCTACCCAAATTTATACGAATAATTACATAATTAACTTTGATTATTTAAAAAAAATTGACAAAGTCTCCCCTATATTGGGAGGTCCCAAGTTATCAATAAAATCATATTACACTTCCAATTTTATTTCACATCTCAATCCAATCATCCTGGATCTCAACCCAACTCATCATCATCAACACAAAATATCTTATTCAATAACATTATATAATGAAATTCAAGTAAAAAAATCAATTTCAACTATGAACATTCATTATTAAATTGATAATTAGAGTTACAGACATTATATTAAAGTTATATATTCAAATTTACAGATTACTATTACATTTCAAGTTTTAGAAGACAAAACTCTTAATTTATAAATAATTACATGGTGAAAAGAAAAAGGTAATTAAATCAATATCATTCCTAACATGACCTTAATGGATCTCAAAATAGAAATTAACGTGTATACATAAATATAAAAATGTAATAACAAGCAATAAAAATGACAGGTAAACAATAATATCCTAAAATTAAGATAAACTATATAGCAATATATACAATAATATCATAAAATTAATAAATAAAATGAAAAAACTAAAAAACACTATATCAGTTCAAAATAAGTTTGGGAATAAAAAATGCTTACCTTAATATGTGTTGAATTTAAGATTTTATCTACAAACAATACACAACACAAAGAACACAAAAAAAAAATCATAATTAAAGTAAAAAAAATACAAAGATAAAGAAAAAAGAATACATACCTTTTAAAACTACCACCAAAACAATAAAATCACTTCCAAAAATGAAATATAATCATAATTAAAGTAAAAAAATACAAAGATAAAGAAAAAAGAATACATACCTTTTAAAACTACCACCAAAACAATAAAATCACTTTCAAAAGCAAAATATAAACCGAGAGGAGAAGAGAAATGGAGAAGAATAGAAATGAAACCAGAGAAAAAAATGAATCAAATGGGAGGGTTTTATATAGCAATTTTTCCGACGGTATTACCGACAGACATTAATTGTTGCTGGTGACATTAAATTCTGTCGGTAATACCATCAAAAATTAATTGAAATGCGCACCAAAAAAGTTCAAAAATTCCGTCAGACTTTTTCATCCGTCAGTATTTGTGCATACGGACACGTGTCGGACGTGTGTGCACTTCGGGATGTGCCTAAATCCGTCGGTGATTCTGTTAGTAATATCATCGGTGATAGTGGCACAATCCCGTAAATGTTTCTCATCTCTTTGTGAAATACCAACAGGTTATTGGCTGTCAGTGACTCCGTCGGTGAAAGTTGCACAATCCTGTAAATTTTTTTCAACTCTCTGTAAAATAATGACAGGTTATTGGTCGTCGGTGACTCTGTCGGTGAAAGTGGCACAATCCTGTAAATTTTTCTTTTTTTTTATATAACCTTGTCACAAAATCTTGAATTGTAATCTTACAGCACACACAACACAATAACAAGGGCTGACTATTAAAGAAGAATAAATATTTAATGTTTCAAATTATTACACAACACAATAACATGTTTAGTTAGTCAGAATTTTCATCTTCATCCTCTATTGAATTGTTATCATCAGCTTCATCGCATTCTTCAATTTCATTATCATCTTCTTCAACAACATTCTTTTCTTCACTAGTAGAGTTCAGAACAACATTCAACTCCTCTGCGTCAACATTGATTAGTACTTAAAAGTGCATTTTTTATCAAGGTTTTATGTCATCATTTTGCACTTGAAGTATCAATAACTCCTTAACTAAAGCATGTTTTATAATAATATATCTAATAATATAAGATACCTTTAATTTATGGTAAATGTTCATTTCAAACAAATAGTAGCAACAATAAAGAAGTCCAAATCTATCTTCCAGCCCGAGCATTGTTCAGTGCTTGGCCCATATCTGGAGTTCTTGAAGTCCAAATGATCTGAATTTTTTACACAAGAAAGCTGAGATAATTTCCTA